TTATTATTATTATTATTATTATTATTATTATTATTATTATTATTATTTTAGAATGGATTTGAATATGGAGATACAATGAGAAAAAATTTCTTAGAGATACTGCAAGCTAGCATATGTGTATATTTATTCTCATATGGGGTCTGTCTTGAGGGGAAGCAAACTCAGCTTACAGCCTGTTATCTGCAAAATGTAAAATACCAGAACTAGCTTATCCTCATGCTTACTCTCCCTTGAAAGAGGTACTCAATTTGTGACTATGTCCCACCTGCCTAGATGAGGAAAGGGAGAAAGAAGGCCACCTGCAAATATTTTAAGTGGACTTTCCAAGGCCTCCAATCCTTTATGAGCACTCTTCAACAGTCATAAAAAAAAAATAGTGTCTGCTTTCCAAGAATCAGCACTGCCTTACTGTTGCTAAAAACAGAATGTCAGATGTTGATCTAAACAGAGTCATAGTACTCCACTCCAGATCATTTGAAGTTATTAGTTTATCAAATTTATATGGCTGCTTGTTTTTAAGAACTGATTGTGGGCATAGCTTGTTGCATCCAAAATTTACTGAGAACAACCTCAAGCATTCAGAAGGCAATGTGAAGGGACTATATTATAATGACAGATGTAAGGTGATTGCAAAGGAATTTACGGAGTTAAGCAGCAGTGTGTTAAGAATACTTGCAGGGATAGTTGGGATAGTTTCCAACATTATAGCCATACATAGCTTGTAAAAGAAACAGTAGTTTTAACAATCAATATAACAAGCTGTTTGATATATTGCTATATGCCTTCTTTTACAGGCTTTGAACAGTCCTAATGCAATGTGAATAACAGCAATACATTCATCACTACCCACCAGAGGGCACATTTAGCACATCAGGAATAGAAAATACTCTAGGTGAAAGAAGTCCCTGAAGTATATAAGCAAACATTCAAATATCTTGATCCCTTAATTACAAAACTGATACTACATCATTTGCATTTAATAAAGGTAAATCCTTGACTTACAACAGATTTTTTTAGTTACTGTTCAAAGTTTTTCCAAGGCACTGAAAAAAAGTGAATTATGACCATTTTTCACACTTGCAGCATCCCCATGATCATGCAATCAAATTTCAGATGCTTAGCATGTGATCACCTTGGGTAACCTTCTGATAAGCAAAGTCAATGGGGAAGCCAAATTTACTTAAAACTATGTTACTAACATAACAACTGCAGTTATTCACTTAACAACTGTGGCAAGAAAGGTTGTAAAATGGGACAAAACTTACTTAAATGTCTCTCTTAGCAAGAAATGTTGGGTTCAATTGTGGTCATAAGTCAAGGACTATCTCTACTTTCCAATCATCATACAGATTCTCACTCTCATAAGAAATAGTGAAAATATTGCTAAGATAACTTTTCAGGCAAGAGCTGGAATGTACATGTTTGGATGTTTCCACATATTAAAAATAAGAATTAACAGTGAATAACAATATGATAGAGTTATCTATCCTACATGTTAGCAAATGTTACATAAGTCAATACCTAACAGACATATTTTTTTCCAATGACAAAGCATCCCAACATGTAATTCTCACCAAGGGGTACAGCGTAACAATAGCTTCATCACGAGAACCCACAAATTCTGCTTTGAAAACCTTCACAAATTGGAGATGTAGTGACAGTAAAAATAACTGCTCTGTTGTGAGTTATTACAGGTCCTGCCACAAAACCCCTTTTCTCCATCACTCCACAGAAATGAAAAACGAAATAAATTGTTTTCACTCCAAGGCCTTATTGCATGCAGTATACATTTGCTGGCCACATGATGGGAGTGCCAAAAAGTCATCAAGCCACTTTTCCCCTTAAAAGCGCAATAGCAAGAAGTGTGATGAAGCAGAAAATGGACCACCTATAAGCTCTATTTAACTTTAACTTTAAAAAAATTGATAACTATGGTTTATAATACAGTTCAGCCAGAAATAAATATAGCTAACACATTGTGGAATCAAAACCCTGAGGCCATTTTTTTTAAGCGGGCAAAAATCCCTCATTTGGAAATGCCCTTAGCTTGTATTCTAGGTATTCAACACCTTTAACTCTCAAGACATTGTGCTGTACAGAACTTGCAAACAGATGCTTACCTCCATCCAATCAAAGAATGCAGCAATATCTTTTCCCACATCCTTTGTAAAGTATGCAGCCGTTGTATAATGCAAACTAGCTCGAGCTAACCAGTTAACCACAATGACGTTAGAATCAGGCTCCCTGTTATACAGTGCTCTCACCAGTTTAGGAACCCAGCTCTCAAACATGCCAATCACCTAGAATACAATAAACTCAATGTCAGTGTATAATATTAACCTCAAAAGATAGATATTAAGTATACTTACAGAGAGAAAAAGTATAATTGTCAAATATTTTTTCAAAGTAAGTAACAATAAACAAGTTCATAGATTAGCTTAGGAGTGCACCGATAGTAGCCTTGTCCAATCTGGTGCTTTACAGTTGTAGCAGACTAAAACTTCCATACATATTTCCATGTTAAGAATTTATGGGGATTGTTCAAAACATGTGGAAAACACCCAGCTGGGAAAGGTTGCCTAGGCATATTATATTTTAATAATAAAAGATTAATCCTTTAATAAATAGGAAATTCACTGCCACAAGTTGCACAAAGGCCAGTATCATTATATATTTATTGTAAAATGGGGAATTAGTGAATTATGCCTCCCTTTCCAAGTAACCCCCATGCTGTTGTGGCTATTTGAAGGTCATTAGAAAAACATCTGTGCAAAAACAAGAAACATCTTGTGGGGTTTTTTGTTGAGGATTTCTAGCAGTTTTCGGGAAATACAGGAGAGGGGGAAATAAAGATGATTTTTAGAAAGAACTGAGGATTTGCACTGAATCTATTTAAGCTGAGCAAAGCACAAGTGTTAGTTTTCTTTTATCTCGTGCAGACCTTGGTGATGAAAAAGTAAGTTGTATGGCTGCTGACTGTATGAGATGACCAGGCTGAGTGGGTCAAGTGCATCATTAGTTTTGAGCCCCTTTATGTCCACCAGAGACCTAAGTCCACTTTTCCTTGAATTCCATTGACTCTTAACTACCACCAAATTGCACTGACCATTAGTAGTTCAGATACTTGTGGTGAACTAGTATGGATTAAACCTGTACTCATCTGAACAGCCTTGGTTCCTGGTTTCTTGTATCTGACACTTATTTAATAATAATTATTACAATTATTAAATTTCTATCTTGCCTTTTAAATATATAATTCAAAAGTTATAAACATAGCTAATACCCCCATCTCCTATTTCTCCCGTAACAAGCCATATTACCGTAACAAAAAACCCTGATGGGATAATGCTTAAGTCTCTTGTACCTAACCTTTGGACAACATAAACTTTAAGAAATGCAAATGTGTGTGTTATGTTAGCAGGTGGGAAAAAAAGATTAATGAACAACATGGGTGTAAATGAGTTCCCAGTTTCTTTACCATTCTTACTGCAAAAGACTTTCTAATACACTAATATGCTAGTCTCGAGAAAATGTTCCCAAGCTGCAAGGGAGAGGCTGTAGTGCAACAGCAGTGTTTTTGCTTTGCCTGGGTTTAATCTCTGGCTTTTCCAGGTAAGCCTAGAAAAGATCCAGCTTCCATTTCCCTATGTCAAGTCTGCCCTTTGGAATTTAGGCAAACTCTAGGTGGCCTTGGCCATTTAGTTCTTCCCAGACAGGAAAAGCTACAAACAGTTCCCTATGAAGGATTCATGTCTTGCTTAAGCCACAAGGTCTTTGAAGCTCCAATGGGTTTCATTGCTCCCCGAGCAATGGCTTCTAGTTGTCTTCATGAATAGAATTGCCTGAATCACCTTTACAGCTATATTCCATGTAGCATGACAGCTTATTAGATTTCAGCACTACTGAAAAAAAGAATGCTAGAGCAGATGGCCTCATGCAGCAAAAACACTTGCGGATTTTTGTAAGAGTTATGATCCAATTGTGGTGTTTAAGATTGGAGTTGCTTTTAAAAAAAACCACATATTATAATTTCCAAACATGATCTGGGACGAGAAGTATAACAAGAGTCCGCCCTAAAATAGGACTTATAACAAGAATTTGAACTTCTGCCATCTGGGGTCCTAGAGTCATATGAAGGCATTTTGGGTGCTCAGCAACAAACCGACATTTACAGCGAGTTGTAACTTATGGTCATGTGATCACAATTGATGATATATTTTTTTTTCTGGAAAAGGCACTTACTTTCAGCTTCTGGAAAAACTTCCCATAGTGAACTTTGGGTCAGAGGGATTGCTTAATGATTGCTACCAAAATAATTATCAAATTGAATCTGCTCATATGGGGAGCCACTTTATGACCATCATGACTTATGACCAAAATAGTAGGCTCAATTGCAGTCATTAGTCCAGGATTACCTATAGAGCTTAAAAGGCTACCCATCCCAACCAGAAATGAGCTGACTATAAGTAAAAATGTATGGCAATTAATTTATGGGATTTTTAAAATCCCTATTTGGGTCTCTGTTCATATCAGACTGACTAAGTCTTCAGTGAATAGCTATGCAAATGTTTGGCTCCTCTTACCGTCCATCCATGTATAATCACAAAGGTTTTACTGGTGTGATTGAAGCTGCAATCTGCTACACTTGTTTCCTGCCCAGGAACTAGGTGACAAAGGTCTTCTTCAGGCTTTTCAGGTATCCTTAAAGAAAATTTACTCTCAATACTGCTGAAGTCTTTTTCGTTTTCTATAACGTTTCCTGAAGTTAAAAGAGAGAGGGAATTTTTAAATGGTTTGAAAGAAAGGAACTGCCGGCAAATAACATGAAAAGTCTAAGATTCTGTTATAGAAATCAATAAAATAAGTAAGAAGCTAACTGACTCAGCACTAATCATGATTTATAAGCATCCACAGTAGCATCAAACAGGGCCAGGAGAACTATTTATCCAGGTACCGTTTTGATACAGATTTCTGCAGTGGCAGCTAAAAAGACAAACAGGCCACCCATTTTATTGATTCTTTGTTTCCATACAATGAAGCAAAGCAAGAATATTATTTTCATTTGATAAGAGAGCAGGAAAAGTCACAATATTTATATATCATCTTATTGTATTTCAGTAAGTTCAGTCTACCTGCAGAAATTCACACATCTCATTATATTGCTTATGTTCAGTTTATAAACACTTCCAGTTTACACATAAAGTATTCCTTCTGTTAGATGGGCATTTACTAGTACATTTATTTTCACCATAAATTTTATACAGACCATAATTTTTAGTCGTCATCATTAGCCTCCATTTAACCCTTTAATAAAAGTTGAGGCAAAAAAAATGTTATAATTCCAGAATAAATATTAACATAACATATTGAAGAAGTGGTACAAAATGGTTTTAACAAATTCAATCATTTTAAGCCAATTTTGAAAGATTTTAATAAAATCTTATGGGTTTGCAATACCCCATTATTAATTGTTCGTGTGAATATATTTTATATAACAAATATATTTCCTATTGAGTGCATTTTGATTATGGTATGGATGATGAATGTCATCAGAAACAAAGCAAATTTGCTTGGAAGATTATGTAATTATTAAACTCATTCTACATTTCAGTCAAAAAATGGTCTATAAGTTGTTCTGGCACCCTTTTAAGATATGCTTTAAAAACCTGTATTTACATTTGACATGGCTTCCACAGATAGTCTTTGACTTACAACAATTTGTTCAGTGACCGTTCAAAGTTACAATGGCACTGAAAAATGTGACTTATGACTGTTTTTCACAGTTACTACCTTTGTAGCATCATGATCATGTGATCAAAATTCAGATGCTTGGCAACTGGCCCCTATTTATGACCATGCTGTGTCCCAGGTCATGTGATCCCCTTTTGTGACCTTCTCATAAGCAAAGTCAATGGGGAAGCCAGGTTCACTTAACATCCAGTTTACTAACTTATCAACTGCAGTGACTCACTTAACAACTATGGCAAGAAAGTTTATAAAATGGGGCAAAACTCACAAATGTCTCAGTTAACAACAGAAATTTTGGGCTCCATTGTGGTCGTAAGTCAAGGACTACTTGTATATCATTCCAGCAACAACAACATAATTAGGCACCAGCAACATGCAACATTTGGGTAAATTAATCTACAAATTGTCCTCTTAAAAAGTAGCAGGATACGGGGAAAACCCAATACTTTGGAAAATATTATTCATTAAAAACTATTGTTTGTTTTGATGAAAGACAGATTTATGGTCTCTCTCTCTGTCATTTGTATGTATGTATGTATGTATAAAATAATTTTTTTTTTAACATGAAGTTAGCAATTGGGCACAAGCAACCATGACAAAGAACCAGCTTTGCTTGAAGTAGTTATATTTTGCATAGGGCAACCATAGACGAGAACACAGTGGCTCTCGTGTTATGACTTATTCAAAAACTAGTGAAATGACTGCTTTCCTATTAAACTGCATGTAGCAGGAAGAAGTTGATTTATGCATTTCTGAGATTGTTGAAAGCCAAAGGTTTACTGTATCTCTCATGAGGTCTCTGTTCAATAAAGGTAAGTATCCTGTGACAAAACTGAAATTTTTGCTTCAGCCTATCCCATATTGATGAAAAGCTGTCCAGAGAAGTATAATGAATCAAGGGTCCTTGGTGTTCTCAAAGCTTGTTGTTTTCTTGCAGTAGTTTCTTGCAGACATTTCATTACCCAAACTAGGTAACTCCATTAGTGGAGCAATAATGATGTTACCTAGTTTGGGTAATGAAACATCTGCAAGAAAACAATCAAGCTCAGAGAGCACCAGAGCACCCCTCACATCAATCTGAGCTACAAATATTATTTTATTAGTACAATAAATCAGCCCAATTTTGCCCTTTCCTTTATGTATCACACCCTAAGTTCTATTTTCTAATATACTAAAGAGTCCCATAAGTTGATTTTTGAATCCATCCATTTGCAGCCATCAAGTAGATATGTCACGTACAACAAACTATTGTTCACCAGGCTGCCCACACCGAATACCTTACAAAAGTGTTGGATTACAATTTCTAGGCTATTTGATAATGATAGGTCATTACACTCCTGGAAAGCACTATGTTGGGAAATTCTGTGCAAAATATTGCTCTTTTACCAAGGTTAGAAAGCATTTTAACATAACCCTCATGGCAACAATCTGAATTGTTTTCTGAACAGGCAAACCACAAACTCATCCCTTAGTTAGGTAACACACGTCCTACTTGGTTTACCTCCATCTCTCAAATATTGATTCATCTTTTTGTAACACAAATGTCAACAAGCCTGCACTGCTGATTACTCAATTTTGCATTTGATGTATAATTTCCATGGCGATATTACAACACTCCTGAAATGCATTTGTGAACTTCAAAAAGAGCAAAAACAAAATTAAAATAAGGAAATACTATATTTGCATACAAGAATAGCAGTACTACTCTCAATTTGTTTTGAGGTTTTGCTTAATAAGAAAAAGACGAATTGCTTCTAAAAGGTTCTGGGGATAAGATATGCATACTCTAATTTTAAATATCTTTTTACTGCACATTCATTAGAATTCCTAATACTGAGCCAGTATTAAAGCAGGCTGACGTGTCAACTTTTCTCATGTATTAGCAAGTGTTGAAGGGTATTCATTTAATATGCAAGCAAAGCAATCCAGACATCAGAACATATGCAACTTTATCACAGCAATAGGTCTGGCAGACTTGCAAATTACAGATCGTGTCTGCTGAAGAATTCCATCTGATGGGACCAGGAGATAAGCCTTCTCTGCCATGGCACCCTGAAACCTCATTCCCTGAAATGAGGTTAGTCCCAGATCTACTGGCCTTCTGGAAATCTCTTTAATACATGATTTTTCCAGTAGGCTTCTAGTAGGATCCCATGGAAATAGGGAGAGTGAAGGATTGTTATATATGACTACAGCTGAAACCAGAATTTCCATTGCTAAGGAAGGCGATTGCTAAGTGCATTTACACTCAATTATATCAAAAAAATTTTTTTTGCCATGGTTAAGCAAATCACTACAGTTTGTGTAGCCATTAAATGAATCTGGCATATCCCACTTGCTGGTCAGAAGCCAGTTGGAAAGATTGCAAATGATGATCACATAACCCCAGGATGCAGGAGGCATCATAAATAAATGCTGGTGGCCAATCTCCTGAACTTTGATCACATGACCATAGGAATGCTACAATGGTTGTAAAGCATGAAGACCAATGATGAGTCATTTCTTTCTGTAACTTTAAATGAACGGTTGCAAGCTCAAGGACTATGTAGGATTTGTTCATTCTATCATGGTCGACTTTTTAACTTTGTTTCATTGCATGCTTACACAGTTATGTTTGTGAGATGGGGCTCTATATAAATTTGATAGTTAAAATAGACTGTGGAAGGGGAATTAAGAAGCAACATTTGTTTCTTCTTCTTGCAAATAAAATTTTAGACTTGTTTAATTATCTTGCTTTTTTTCCCAGTTGAGAACACAGTGGAAGGCAGGGAGAAATTCTCCATACGGTACCTTCTCTAACATGTCATATGTCAATCCTATTATTTAGACATTCTTGAATGAAATAAAACAACCAATCTCATCTTTCTGCTCAACTGACAGATTGTTCTACAGAAGGATGAAAATCCAATGCCAGTCTGAGCTTTGAAATTTCTGACTCAGTGGACTGTAGGTCTAAATTTTAGCTTTAACATTTTAGACATTTCAACAGTGGCATTTGGAAAATTGAATTTTGCTTCACCAAACTAAAAATCTATACATTCAGTGGGAGGTAAGTAAAGTTATGTTTACAGGACAATGGTTTTCAAACTTTGGAATCTATCTTCCCTTACATTATAAGAGCCAAGGTGGCACAGTGGTTAGAGTGCAGTACTGCAGGATACCTGTGCTGCCTGCCGGCTGCCTGCAATTTGGCAGTTCAATTCCCGCCAGCCTCAAGGTTGTCAGCCTTCCATCCTTCTGAGGTGGGTAAATTGAGGGCCCAGGTTGTTGGGGGCAATATGCTGACTCTGTAAACCGCTTAGAGAAGGCTGTAAAGCACTGTGAAGCGGTATATAAGTGCTATTGCTATTTTCCTGAGATTGTCTTTCCTGGATTAAAAGACAGCCATACTTGTCAATGGCTTTCTGGTTGCAGTACATTAAAGCAATCATCTGCTTCTTATACGTGCAAATATACTGGAAAGGATATTGAAAATTACTGATGCAATGCACTGGTTCATTCATCCCGAAGAGCTACAACAAATCATTGCAACATTTAAGCTTTCACATCGATTCCCTCAGAGGTCCTAATTATAAGGGCACTGAATCTGATCAGATGGCTACACCTGGTTGATCTTGTGTAGAACTGGAAACAAAGCAGGATTGGGTGGACCTTGCAGACAACCAGAGTTGTAGACCAGATTGAATTCAAAAGCACATATAGGAAAAAAGACCGCGACAAATCACTTCCACACTGTTGTCAAAAAGAAATACATGGATACATCCATGAAGTTGTCAGAGGCTGATTTGAAAATTGTATACAGGCAGTCCTCAACTTATGGGTAGTTTATTTTGTGACCATTCAAAGTTACAGCAGCACTGAAAAAAGTGACATGACCATTTTTCACACTTACGATGGTTGCAGCATCCCCATGGTCACATGATGGTTCCAGTGTCCTGGGGTCATGTTATCTCCTTTTGCAAACTTCTGATAAGCGAAGTCAATGGGGAAGCCAGATTCACTTAACAACCG